CAGGTACATCTTTTATTCTGGTTGATCTGGCTTGACTACTTCGATGAATGAAAGGGAAGTTCTTGCTTTTATTTATTGTTGGTTTATATTACTGTTTCATTTTGAAATTGCATTAATTAAATTTTTGTGCTGCTGCTGCTCTATTTTTATTTAAACTCACGTAATTGGATCCATTGACCTCGTTAAATCTCACTTTAACCTGCTTATTTTACGTGATTAGGTTTTGACTAGTATTTGACTATTGCTTTATTATTTTACATATACCAGCAGTACTAGCTTGTTGTATATAATTTTAGTCCCAAAATTTAAATTTAAAAAAAAATTAGCTCAAATTTTCATTTTCCATTACTTGCACTTTTTGTTCGTTGATCTCTCTATTGCATGTCATTAAGTTGCTATTACAGTGCATGTAGTTACATATTGGTCATTTTGTCACTTCTAGCTCTAGTACCTTAAACATGAACCCCTCACAATTCGATGCACTCACCCGACAAATAGCGACTATTCAAACTCAAATGACCACTACTCTTGAAGAGAGTAAGGTCCTATCTGCTAGTTTGAAAAATTTTAAACACATCCCTCATTCGATTGATGTTGATAATTCTAAGGTGTCCCATAATAGACAACATTGTCGACAAGGTAATCAAAAATACTTTCGACCCAATCGTAAGGATAGGGATGGGAATAGAGATCAGATTCGTGAGCGAGAACGAGATAATTTTGAAATTCTTACTCAATGGAATACCCTTAAACAAGGAAATCAATTAGTGACTGAGTATATCGCGCAATTTGAGGAATTTCGAACCAAATGTCATTTAATTGAGGATGGGAGCACGACTTTGAGTAGGGTTAGCCAAGGTCTGAGAGATGATCTTAAGCGTGAGCTTTTCCTTCGAGGTGTCACTACTCTTGTCACGCTTACTCTTTAGCTCGAGATTATGAATTGATTATTAGTACTCCATATGAAAAGCGTGGTCATCGTCGCTCACCCATCTCATTAGCATCGCCTCATCATAAGTCTATCATAAAACCGTCTCCGTCTAATGTTCCTCCTATTTGGAAAAATAATTGTAAAGGTCGTGATAGTCCAAGATCTTCTTTTCCATGTAGAAAGCATATGGACAATCATTCTTCGATGTCATTGGTTCCAATTCCTCCCGTTAAGTCCCTTCTAGGACCTCCCCCGTCTGATATTCCTCCAATTTTGAAAAATAAGAGTAAAATTTTTTATAATCATCATTTGGCTTCATTGACTCCACCTCCTCCCATTAAGTCCCTTCTAGGACCTCCCCCTTCTAATGGTTCTCTAATCTTGAAAAATCAGGGTAGAATTTCTGAAACTCCAAGGTCTTCTTCTCACTTGTTGTGCGTCAACTGTAAAGACTTTGGTCACATTTCTTCTAAATGTCCTAATCGAACCTTAGCCATGGAAGAACGAAAGAATGTAATAGAGGAGCCGTTAGAAGATCTAGTCTATGAACCTAAATTTGAAAATTTTGATGACTTGGATGATAGTGAGGACATTTCCTTAGGTGGAATCCAGACTCTTCTCGAGACTTTGGATACTATACCCCTTATCTCCGACAATTCTCGATCACATGTTATATGTTATACCTTACCCAAGTTAAAGAGCTTGATGATGTCACCAGTCACCCTCGGAAAATCCAGTCGCCTGTGGTTAACACTAAGGCAAAATTATCCACCACTGACCAACCTCAAATTGATAGTCACAACAAAAGTACTAACAAAAATCCTGACAATTTATTACAGTCTCTAGTCCAGAAAAATCTTGGAAATTGGGACTTGATCCCTCCAACCGTTCAAATTGCATATAACGATCCTGTGAACTGGTCTTTAGGTCTAAAACCCTTTGAAATTATTCTTGGTTGTAAATCTTTGAAACCTCTAGACCTTATTTCCATGTACCCACATGCTTGTATGTCTATGTCAGTTGAGGTAGTTGTATCACATTTTCATGGCTTGCATATTGAGATCAATAAATAATTTGAAGCAAGTAAAGCATTATATAAACCTCAAGTTGATTGGCATAAACAATACTTTGAATTTAATATTGGGGATTATGTTATATTGCAAGCGTGTAATGCTGGTCTTTTTAAAATTTCAAAGCATGTTGGTCAAAATGTCTATGTCAATGATCTTATATCACATTATGACCATCAACCTATTTTATTTGTTAAGGATTTCGATATTTACAATGGCTATTTTAACACTTTTGTTGATCCTTTTCTATCTCTACCTGAGAACTCCCACACCGAATCTTTTGCCATGTCTATTCGAATACCACCTGTCGCAGCACACAAAGATAAAATTGATGTAATTTTAGATGAACAGGTTGTGTTAACCATTGATGGAGAGAATTGGTGCTTCTTTAATTGTTGGGTAGATCAACGTTCTTATTGTGCTCCACATTATGCGCAATCATGTGAAGATTTTGGAGATGAGTTGCAAGAGTACTTGTTATTTGGAGTCCAATGTCGGTACTTGATTACAAAGAAAGATCGTCCTCCTTGGTTGGATCATATCCTTGAGGATAAGCTATAACTATCCTTGTTATCATTTGTGGAGTTTCGGTATTTGGTCATCGAGAAAGATCGTCCCCCGTGGCATGACTTGGAGCCTTTCGCATCAGATTCAGTGCAACATTCTGCTTCATCTACTCGACGGGGTCGAGTTTTTCTCCCACCCCGGGAGAGTTGATGCGGACATCCATTTATTATTTATTTTCTATTTGGACTATTAGCTATATTTTATTGGGACTATTGTTTATGTTTTCGTTATTGGGCTTGTTTAGTGGGTTTGGTCCAAGCCCTACTCTTTAGGGTTTGTGTTCTGCTATTTATTTATATTTTTGTTTCTCATTTGAGACAGTTGATGATGAATTAGAATTGAAATATTTTTTGGTGGCTTGCAGCCGTTTTCTCCCTCCCCTCTCTTCCTCTGGTTTCTTCTCCTCTTCTCCCTTCTCTCTGTTTCTCCTCCCCGTTCCTTCTTCTTTCTTTCTTATTCATCCTACATCAATCTGGAGCCGGCATTTCACTGGCTGTTATCTGGTTAGGATTAGGTCCAGAATCTTGTGGGGTGTAGCGTAGCTTCGACTTGTGCTTTTGGTTAACATTCTAGATGCTTTTCGTAAATTTTAGTTTATGAAATTGCGAAGATTATTATGAAATATTATCCTCTAGGAGTCAGTTTTTTGGGTGAAAAGTCATTTACAATCGTCTTTACTTTCTCGGATGATATCTTGCATTGTTTTGCCTTCTGTTATCCTAGATCATTATCTAGGATAATGCATGACCAAATAAACATACTTCTAGTTTCGTAATCCATTTTAATGATGGTCGAGCCTAGCTTACTAAACATGGCATAAATGATACGGAAAATTATAGCTTTAGTCTTTGACCATTACTCCATTTCTCTAGTTGATTATATAAATCTTTTTTCCACTCCGTACTGTTCTTTGTCACATGTACTGAAGTCCAAAGCAACTAGATCATCTATAACATGTTCGCCGACAATGGCTCACTGGATTCGGCTTGTTAGACGCCACACTGATATGGTCTATGTGGGATTTGATCTGCATTGTACTCTTACGTATTGTCCATTGAGGATTGGGCTCCAAAGTAAATTTCTTTCCCGTCCCTGCAATCTGAACTAAAGACCTCCATATACCAATGTGCACATTGGTGCCTCAGTATAACTGCTTTGTTCCAAGTCTCGAGTTCGTCCACCACCTCCCACCTAAGTTCAGCATCAGACAGTTGCCTTTCCTTGAGAATGCTCAAATTCTACTTTGCATCGATATGTTTTCTTTCTTAAAGCAGAACTTAAAGCTGCAAATATACGCTGCTCGTGTTCTTAAAGCTGAGTGGAGATTCTTGTATTTACTTTATGTACAATAAAGCAACACACTCATAATTTCCTGATTCTGTTTACTTTATGTTTTGTTCTGTAAGTCGTATGGCGTGTTTCTAGTTTAAAGATGGACTTGAAAAGAACCACACTTCAGACAACTAAGTTGACATATATACTATCCCCTTGGCTATCCCATAACTCAAATTTTGACATATCACTTCATTAGACAACACACCGCAATACTCTGACTACGTTTGGTATATTGAATTAGACTATATATCCAGGAATTTAATATAAAAGTATAATGGATATTAAAAAGTAGATAATATTATGGTGACTTAAGGAGGATTGTGTTTCCTGTGTCCTCAATTGTCCAATTTCTTGGCTTGCTATCGAACTTGCTTGATCAAATCCATAGAACGGACCGACTTCTCAACAAAGAAAATGAGAGAGAGTGATTATTTACTTTGTAAGCAAACAAGAACCGGCTTCACGCTAGGGGTGCTCATCTACCTACTATAGCTAACTTCTTGTTACAAACAAACGACCTAGCAAACGGGCGAACCAAAAAATTTGGTAGAGTCTAATCTAAGTATCGACTAGATAAGCATACTGTAGTAAAAGTAGTAGTTATGAACCATGTAGACCATTCCCATAAGGGTGGTGTCATTTACTATATCTTTCGTATTCTGTCTAAAATCATCTCCTACCCCTATATTATGTTAAACATTTAATGGTGCAAATGACGAATGAGAATTCAATAGACATCGATTTAATCAACTGAATACCTACTAGCAAATGTTGCTAACATTTTACCTGGCCTGTAAGAGTAATATAGAGCTCAACTTTTAATAAACTTTTACAATTTCTGTTAGCAGATAGTACATTACACCCGCCAACAGAATCGAAATTTATAGTAAGAAGGGAGGTTTATGAAAATTTTGAATAAGGAAGGGGTGTCCTTGTTATTCTCATAAACCTTAGGGAGGTCTTTGTAATCAAATATTGTTGAAAAATAATTTAACGTTATAAAATTCGTATGCCCAAAGTGTAAATATCTTTTATTTGTACCGATAATCTTATTTGTATATATCTTAACAGTTTTCTTCGTCAAATTCCGACTTCGTACTTGCATTCACCACCGCTATTTGATTTTGACCACTTGGAAGTGGTAAGAACTACTCTATGTGTGTGTGAAGAAACAAGAAATGAAATCCACTTTTCTTTGCTCAATTACATGGTATAATTGTACAACAATGTTTTTATTATTTTTATTTTTTTAGGAAATTCATGAAAACATCCCCATTGCTTTTTTATCTAATTCTACAGTCCTAGATAAACCCAGTTTTAGGTTAAGCGCTGGTAATTTTTATCAAGAGATTCAATGAAATTTGCATATTACTTGCCTAAAATGAAACCTAAATGTTGGTTGAATTCTGAGAGCTTATTTTTTTTATTTTTTATTTTCCTTAACGGGTGATATACTGGTGCAGATATTGTTTATATTAAAGGAGAAACAAAATGGATATGTCTTTTGTTTATGGGAAATACCCCAATTCTACCTTTGGGAAGCCCATTGCCTCTCCAAGTTCACTCTTTACAGCTCAGTTTCTAGCAGTGCCTCAAAATAGTGGAATCTGTATTACTAATATCAAGTTCTCGCCTCGTATAATTGTGTCTAGAGCAGCATCGGATTCAAAGGACTTCAATGTGGATATTGAACTAGGTAATGATACATCTGTGAGTACAAGTAATGGTAGTGGTGGTGGCATTCTGAATGGGAAGGCAGCCAAAGGGTCAGGGACCACCGCCAGAGAACGCCGGTTATTGAGGGTTCGAGAGGAGAAGAGGAAGCGTGAATATGACCATCTTCGTAACTATCCTGCTTGGGCAAAGTCATTCTCTGTTTCTCCTCTCATTACAATTTTGTTTGATTGCAATTTTGCAATGCAATAAGTGTGTATTTTACTTGTGTTAAGTGCAGGGTGTTGGAAGATGCTTGTAAAAATGATTTGGAGCTTCGAGCTGTTCTGGGAGATAGTGTTGGTAACCCAGAACTTATGAGAGAGAGGGTAAGTTACAGTTTGTTCGAATTTTGTCCAACTGTATTAATGAGTTTGAGTTGGTTTTGTTTTGTACTGCTAAATGCTTAGTTGATAGATAATGTTTCTTAGATTACTGACCCTCAGTATCTGCATTATTAGATTGAATGAAATATTTTTTTCCAACTAATAGAAAATCCGCATATTAAGAATTGAAGAGTCCAATTAAGTCCACTACATACAATCGTAGACTTTGATGCACTAATATGGACATGTGTGTCCAACACGACACGTGTCATGTCGGATATGTTGATAGATGACTTTTTCTAAAAAGTATTGATACGACACGTCATCGATATGTTGATTAAATTCTTTATTTGTATAGTATAAATTTAGTTTTATACTTATTATTAAATTTTCTAGTTTAAATTTTTTAAATATGAGTACATATTTGTTATTTACTAATAACTTTGAGTTAAAATATATAATATTTTAATAAAAAGGAAAAAAAATCGACACACAGAGACGCCACCCTATTTGAATTGTTTGTGCAACAGACGTCATAGAGATACTCTAAAATCATATCCACTATGCCGTTCGTTAATAATTTGATTATTGCCTAGATTATAAGCCATGCTGATACTACCATCTATTGTCTAATGATTGACTTTAGGGAGTAATGGTGCAGCTTAAATACACCATAGTTACTGGAATTAACAAAGGTTAAGAGAAAGGTGAACCATCACCAACATGTATCAACGGAGTTAGAAATTGTATAAACTTTTTGTTTGACAGAATTGGAGGATCCCATTTGATTTATTATGCATTGAGTTCAGCAGTTGACTCTACTATGTATTTTGATGGTCATACCTTAAAAAATGTTAACAAACATGTATAGATTTGTTAGTGAGCTTCGATTGGGGCGCATGTAATCTCCCTTGTAATAGCACAAGGCATTTTCAATGGTCTTTCCTTTCTGTTTCATAGTTCAATTGTAAATCTGAAAAGGGTTGGACTGACATGTAAAGAAATTATTTGAGTACATGGGCATATGCTGTAAAGGAATCGATCTCTAGCTTTTGTTATTGCTTTGAAACCAGCGATTTCATCATTTCTTGAAGCATAAAATTCTCTATTCATGAATTTTGTTTTTGTGTTTAAATTCTGTAACCTTTTTTTTATATTGTTGATAGGTTGAAGAAAGAGTTCGACAGAAAGGGCAAAATTTTCAGAAGTCCAAAGCAGGATCAGTCCTTGCCTTCAAAGTCAGCTTTAGAGAGTAATGCATCTCTTACTTAGACATTTAGACAAGCACACATTCACTGTCCCTATCTGTCTGTCTCATTTCGGTGCCTAAATTAGCACTGAACTATCTAAAACTCCTTTCCGCACTATTATTCTTTTGCCACTTTTGTTAATCATAACTGATATCTGTGTGATCGTGGATCAAGTGAGGTTGTAGCTGCATCCCCAAGATAGTGTTTTCTTATATTTATCCTTGGTGTTTGACTTTCATCTCCTAGAGTTTTTGTTCTCTGCTTATAGTTAATAAACTGGCTGTCAAGTTAGAGATTGATGGACAAATACACTGATTTTTAATTCTCCTTCATTCTTATATTATGGATGAACTATACCTGTTTCATGGGGTAGTCTAATTAGTCTTTAGTACTTTGGTCCATAGCTCTCATTTGTTTGATTGTCAGGGAACTTCTTATGGGATATGCGTTTGCAGCTGAAAAACTAAATCGTCACTCTTTTACTTCAATGGTTTGATATGCCTCTGGAAGGCTATAGCAAACAATCACTTGCCGAATTGGAAAAATGAAGAAAACATTTTTCATTCTTCTGTAGTTACCTTCCATGTAGATTGCCAAGATATTAAAATGCCTTCCACACCGTTGAAGGGGGAAGTTAAGGAGAAATCATAAAGAGTGCCTCTTCAACCAGATTACTCATGAGACTTAAAGTCTGGAACTTTCATAGGAATGCTATCAAGGAGATATCATAATTGTGCTTTTGATAGAGCTTTTTGCCAAAATATGGTCATAATCCAAATTGAAATAATTTTCATTCTCTTAATCAACTTGAAACTTTTGGACTTGGGATAGGGTATTGGTTGACTGGTTGGTCAGTGAACGATGATGTGCAGTTGGGGTAAAAAATTGTTATGCTTTATGCAAACAAATATTTAGCATTGGATAAATCGATATTTGAATCATTTGAATTGCAGTAAAATTGTACCTATCCACATGTTTTACGCAGGGATGTCTGTCCACAACTGCTTATTGTATTACTCATTCTGCTATCCAATTACTGTTTGATCTCATTCCTATTCATTCTGCATCATTTACTATTCCAATTTTGGCCCTTCACCATCACTAAATCATAATACCTGGTTAAATCTTTTGGGTTTCTAGCATGTCATGTGGCATCAATTGCTGTTACTTTTTATCATTTCTGAATTATAGGGAGAGAGGAGAACAATTATATTGTCATATCATGGGTTTGTTTGGCATTCATCAAGTTCTCATTAAATTATATGGGTGTCAGTAAATCATTTAATCAATTTTCAGTTAATATTTTTTCTATGATTATGACTTGAAAAGGAAATTCTTATGGAAGACAAGACACAAGTTGACCTGAGTTATGTGACAAAGTCTAACCATCATTGGTGCATATTATCGTACTCCATTGAACCATCATTTTTTGACACTTGATGCTTATTCAGTTTATATGATGGCCAGTTTTAATCCTTTAGATTCCTACATATGGTTTGAGTTATATGGATCACCGTCGGACAGAGATGTAGACCTTCTTGGCAGTGTACGTATGTTTCTATTCCATTATTCCTATTCTACCAACTTCTATCTTATTGACCATTTAAATTTCTGAAAAAAAAGGGGGAAAAAGTCTTAATTTTTTGTATCTGGTTATCCTTGGTACAAGATGCTATTTTAACTGAATTGTTTGATAAACATGGTTTCCTTATGTGACAGGTTATTCAGTCATGGTACGTGATGGGTCGCTTAGGCGCATTCAATTCATCCAATCTACAGGTTTGCTTTTACTATGTTATTGGTATCTCCCCTTTCATCATCGTCCTGATTTGAGTCGTGCTTTAAGTTCTACATATATATTCTGAGCATGTTTCTCTGCATTTTTGGCAATATCATGCTTGCTTTAAATTTCCTCTTTGTCGAAGAACTTTGCGCTTAAATTTTAGACTAAAACTTTGAGCATTGGTCAAAAATGAAGAGTTTAGTTTCATGATCTCAAGAACGTGTACGTGACTACTAGTAGTATGGATATTCACTTTCTATATGCTAAAATAGACTGGACCTACATTTTTAATCTTCTTATTACATTGCCAAGTGACTAAATGATCAGGTGAAGCAGACCCATCATTAGCTTTATACAGCTCGTTTCCTCCTCCATAGATAACTGTTCATGTAGGATTTTAAACCGATCTGTCCTTTGAAAGCCCTTTCCCAGGTGGGATTTTACTTTATTTTGTATTGGCAAATCAATAAGTATAAGCCATATTTTTATTATTGTGTCAAGAGTATTGATATTAATACAAAATATATACAGCTGACTTCTGTTCACATATATAATCTAATTATTTTGAGTTTCGAATCATATACATGGAGAGCAGGCATAAGACCTGGAATTGAATTTTGCCACCACAATTTATACAGAAATTGGGACCTTTGGTAAAATGAATTGACCATGTGGTTGAGTGAGTTGAAGACTAAATTTAAATAAATAAATGCCTTCCCTCTCTAACAGTTAAAATGGATTTGAGTTTTTCTGCCTTTTATTTATTAAAAAGTTGTGCAAGTGTCAGACTTCCAATAAATTGAATCGAGCCAATTATTGTTGCTCCTAATTGTCAGAAACATGTAACTCAACTTTTACATTGTCACAGATGGCAAGTTCATCGATGGAATACAATCCTTTGTACGACGCAGATAAGGGTTTTAAGGTGATGCCTTCGTCGTTCCATGATATAAGTAATGTTGAATTCCAGGACAATTGGGGCAGGATTTGGTATGAGTTTTCTGATTGTACTTTTCATGATCACATATCAAATTAGAATCCTCCGACCTCACTAGGATCTTACTTCCATGGATATGATAATAGGGTAGACCTGGGAACGGCTGATTTCTTTTCAATTGACGTTCTCCTCAATTGCTTGACTGTATTAAGCTCAGAGTAAGCCTTTGATTTCAAGCAAATTCTATGGTGGCACATTAGCATAGATACCATGTTTAACTTCGATTGCTATTTGTGGCAGGTATTTGGGCATTCAACAGGTAGTTTTTGGCGGGCGCCGAATGGGAGATTGGGAAGAGGGGATGACTAGTCCTGAATATGGATACAAATACTTCAAAATCTGAAAGTCTTTTACGCAAAGAATTAAGAAACAGTTTTCCGCTGAATTTGGGGTCGGCACAAGAAATGCTCTACCATGGTGGTGCTAGAAAATCTGTTCGTTAGTATTTCTTTTAGGAATTATGTTCTTCGTATTTTTATTATTTCTTAAAATATCACCGATGCTTAAGATGAGATGAGCATTGAAGATCCTGTGTTTGTGTGTGTAATCAACAAATTGAAAATAAAATCCATTTTCTCCACAATCCATTATCACTTCCACCGAAGTCTCCTTAGTGGTGCATTTCCATTACTCGAAATCATATGGTAATATCCCACAAAGGTTCAGTTCCTAAGAGATTGACCTTGGCCATATCCAGAGATAATGTGTTTGCTAAGTACATTATCTTGGAATTAGAGATGAGATTAAGCAATTACACGTAAATCTCTACAATAAGATCTTGATTTTTACCCAATCGGCAGATATTTTTCTAACACTAACGGTGCACAGAAATATATTTTCACATCCACAAAGAAACAATAGAGAGTGGCGCATAGATGCACAACTCCCATTCTCCCATTATCATTTAATTGGGTAAACCTTGTAACTTTTCGCTCTGTCATAACTCATACCAATTTGGTGATGGATTTTTTATGCGCACATTGGGTCTACAGGCACCTCACAATAGGAGGCCAGTGATTTTTTTGTTGGATGCGGGCCTACTATCGTGAGAGGGTTATATACTGGGGTGTCACAAATAGCAAAACCCTTTGTTGATGGATATCGACAGAGGTGCTGACTTGACACCATTCTGATTGATGTGCACATATAAAAACTAAGTTTATCGAAGAAGTGGAACCTGTTGCAAAGTTTTTGATGGCAAAAAATATTGAAAGATGCTGTAGGTACATCAATTATTCACAGCTTTTTTCACAGCACACACACATGCAAGTGGGTGGAGTCCACGATTAAAATAATCGTGAATCTCACCTTTGTGAGACAGCTGTGAAAAAAATTGTCAAACAAATGCTGTACAAATAGCAATTTTCAAAAATATTTTACCCATAAACTGAAGATTTTGAATGAGTACAATAAATTCATTTGGATAGACATGATATTCGCCTACCTAAGAGCGTGGTTGAACACGTTCTAAAAGCTGATGCCTATTAGCTTCAAGTATTGTTACGGACAACTTGAACTTTCTCTGTTAAATGGCCATTATGGTTTTCGACATCTTTCGTGAGAGTAAGTAGCTGATCTTGATATGCTGCACTTAACCGTTTCTTCACCCAGAGTTCTGAGGTTGATTCTTGAATCTTTCTCATCCTAAATAATAGCACAATTTGATTGATTAAATGGTGAACAAGTTAATAAATCATGGAATTTCATGCCCACGAAAAAGCGTCAACAAATCACATTGCCTTTAGCGTTCTATGAGCCGTTAAGAAAATCCAAATGAGGTAATAAAAACTACGCGTGAGTGTACCTGTGTTAAAATAATTAGAATAATGCTCTTTGTACATTCCATTTTGTACATTGTGTTTGACATTTTATGCAAATTCAAATTGTCTTCGGCAGGAAAGTGCGTTAAATTAAAAAAATATTCAATCATGTGCTGATATGTGGCATAATATTAAAGATGATGTAAATTGTAAAGCATAATGTACAAGTAGCATGATTCAAATAATTATATGTTGCAATGGAAATAATCAAATATTTACGGAAACAAGATTTTCAAAGGAAATATTCTAGTTAAAAAAGGAAAGGAAGTGAATGCAATTCTACTTGTTCTCTTGTTCGGCCTTAGACATATCTGGTTTTCTTTCTCCCAATTCTCCCAACACGTCCAAGTAGTTCTCTATATCAGAATATATGCGATGGGTTAATAAAACTAGAGTTAATATAATCTAAATACATCTCCAAAGCTAGCACTTAAAAGGAAATGGAAGAAAAGAAAAGAAATCCCTTGTAGCCATTTAAAAAAGGGATACAAATCAAAAACCATAATCTTATCAAGAAAGAAGATACAATAATGGTAGAAAACAGGCTTCCACAGTTTGAGTACAAGCTGAGAAGAGAAATGCTAGAAGCCTTTAACGTATATTTAGTCTCCTCGGTTACGAATTACATTGTAATGTTCCCCTGGCAAATAGGCTTATGGAAGTTACACCTCTCCAGATTTAAATGTTTCTGATGATTGTCAAAACAGCCATTCTTTCTCTAACTCAAAGCAGACGGTGCGGAAACAACAGAATACTTGTACAGTTTAAATTCTCTGATTTCAATTATGTACATCTCTCACCAACAGCGGGAGAGGGGGGTGACGGAGAAAGTAGTAATGAACTACCACTTGTAAACTATTGAGCACCTCTACGACTCAGATTCAATCATACCAGTCTCATAAGATACATGAATTTATCATGTCTATAGACGAGTTAAGAATTCGACATGATTCAGAATGTCCAAAATGTGATCTAAGAAAATTAACACTATGAAATCTGTATGCAAGCACACATACACCCATTTTGGAAGCATTGCATCTCGTTAAATTCGAATGCGAGGATAATTTATATTTTTCAAAAGAATATAGATAGGCTAATTTGTTGACCCATAGTCAGATTAGCTAAGTTTCAAAAAGTACACGACAAGTGTAAAATTTCCAATAATAATCATCAGTTCATTTTGTTACACAATGAACTCTTGAAATTGAGAATAAACTTCACTTTGAGACTGAGAACTCTCACTAGTTGAGTCACTGCCAGGTAGGCTTATCAGAGAGCAAGCAAACCACGGTGCTACGTTCAGCCGTGTGAGTGCATGCTAGGCAAAGCTTAAATTTTTCTAAAACCGAATGTGTGGATAATAAGTAGGTAGTAAGTAGTGGTTCTTACATGATGTGTGTATAAAAAGAATATTTGACTAACTTAAAAAAGAAAAAGAAAAAAAGCTTTGCCAAACATGCACTTAGCCTATGTTTGGCTCATGTTTATAAGTTGTTTATTAACACAAAAGCCACTTTCTAACTACAACTTTCAAGGAACCACAAGTATTATGCACTTATTCACCACTCATAATTTAAACTGGCTACAAACACTTCCCAAACAAGTTCTAAATATGTTCCCTTTTCTTCTATTTAGGAAACTATTTAATGCATCCATTATATTGTAAATCCCACAGACATACAAACATGCACACGGAGATTGCAAGAATATTGGTGGTAACAATGATTCACATCGTCATCAGTGCCTTGCTTCCATCTTTACTTGCATGCTCAAGCAACACAAACACATTTGGTCAAGGTATTCATATTATAAAAACTTGAAATCCTTTTCTTTATCCTAGCACTTCTTATTTATCTTGATTCAATATTTTATTCTTATCTCCTATTTCAATTTTCCTACCATTCAACATTTGTTAATACTGTTTCTGCAAGAAATTGAACAAGAGATAATTTGAAAATGTAAACAAAATGAAAAGGTAAATATATTTATGTAGACGTGTCCGTTATTACTTGCTATACTAAAAAATGATTGTTGACTGTCAACGAAATGGCAATCTTCAAGGACTAAAAAGGGGTACAAACACACACATATTGGTGGTTGAGGAGGGAGAGGGGGACAAAGTTATGGAAATAGTTGAACAAAATCGACAATTAACAAAAGGTGTGAAGCTTACAAAAGTTGGACGTTTCTTGGACAGTGAAACCACCAAGGGATGATTATGGTCCCTCACAAATTTCTGAACAATCCACGTCCCTGGCTTTTCTCTCTTAACTACAATCATTGCTGTGCAACCTTCCCACCGTTTTTCTCCCTTTTCATTGAGAATGGTATCTGACCTATGATTATCAGGAATCCCTCTACATCCTAATCCATGCAATATAATTGAACCATCACGCTCTGACTTACGGGATGATAAAATACAGCAAAACCTATCTGTCCACCATATTCGTCATCACACGCTCTTGCAGCATCTTCTGATTCGAATAGCATACCCTCATACGGTTCCTGGTTTCTGTCAGCTACACATAAAGTTGAGTTACCAAGTGCTGATTCTTTAATTCTTCCACAGCGGCCATGCACTGTGTTTTGCACATCCACTAAGAGAAATCATTAAATACATGACACTAATCTGGAGAGATTAACAAAAGAGATAACAGCTGACAGTAACGTACCTTTCACTAATGAAACATTACTCTACAAACAGAATTTCTACATCACTACTTTCAAATAGAAACCAAAGAAATAAAAACAAATAGTCAATAAGAAACTCCACAGCGTTTGCTGAAGAACTCCTGGTATACGGTACACAATTCAAAACTTTTTCAAAGCACAAGAAACTTGGAAAGGTGAGGAAAATGATTAATGAAAACTAATCACAAAAGGAGTATTTAAAATATAAGTATAAAAGATGAAAATCAGGGATATTTCAGTTTCATAATCAACTTATCCAGATTCACATTAACTCTGAGAACTATATATCATCTGTAATTGCTAAGTCAGCCATTAATTTGACACAATCCTCTATTTCAAGATAAACGAACGAGTGCATGCACAAAAAGATTTTTTGAAGAAAGAAAGAGATGCTATCTTATTCTAAATGCATCACCTTACTCACATAACTTCTACAGAGTAGCACAAGAAGTTATATTAACAAAATCAAATGCAATGGTGCACTGCACAACGGAGAATTATAATATGATCCAGAGAGCTCAAAACATTTCATAGATATGATTTCACATTCGAAACAAAAATTGCTTTAGAGGGCATCACTACATCGAACTTTAATAAGGAAAAAAACCCGGTAAAAAAAGTAAATTAAGAAAAAAACCTAAAACTTTAATAATGTTTATATTCTCAATTATTACCTAAATCACTAGAAATTACATAAAAAAATATTTCCCCGATTATCACTGCGTAATTGCATATTACCCGAAGATAGAATCATTTTTTTTTTTAATAATGGTGAAAGAATAGACCAATTGCTTATTTGTATACACTTAGAACACAAATGGATACATATACAGACTGGAGTTCTGATTACTTACTGGTGAGGTGAGACTTTGCAATTCTTTCTCTTTGGCCAATTTCTGCGTAATTGCAACCGATAGTTAAATGAATGGTGAAATTAAATTAGTTATTTAATTCTACCTTTCACTTAGATTGAAATTGAAATTGAAATTGCAATCCAAGTGGAGCTAAATACGTAAATTAGGCATTTTTGGGTTTGATTTGAAAGAGGAACATTTTTATAGTTGGACTTCAATGCATTTTGGCGCAGGAACGTGGGTAAAATTACAGTTAAGGTCCCAACTTTTGAGGGTTTTTTTTTTTTATTTACTATAGGAATCACCTTTCAATTTTGTAGGTTTAGCAAGTTGTTTCTACTTGAGTCCACATGACACATAATCAAAATGTCCTTTATATTTAGAAAATTGATTAGGTCTCTTTTTTTATTGAAGCAAATAAACATGTTTGTCGAGTTTATAAACCATTCAAATTAACTAATTTAATTTATAACATGTAAGACTCATAAGTATATGCATTTGGTTCACACTATTTGTTAACCACAAAGTTTATAAGAAAATTCCTTATTCGCCCAACATGCTAATGCTCGCACAAATGCAACACAATAGATCAGAAAATATATAAGTGATAGTGTTTAAAATATCAAGCTTTAAATTTGATATGCTTGTACCCAAGTTAAACAAGCTACAAGTGTGGACATGTCTAGTTCAATCTCAAGCTCGTAAAATTACAACTATTTGCCTTCACCTCTATTTACTCGTCAAGTAATATTGATTAGAAAGTCAAAATCAATTTTATCACATTGAACGATGCAAGCAATAGTCAAGATTACACACTTGTGCTCATATGATATTGTTCGTTACGAAGGATATTATCCCTTATCGACTAGAACTTCTCGTCTTCGAGGGTGCAATTTATCAAATTTAATTTAACCACAGCAGCACGATATTCAACACAAAGAATGTCACTAAAAATCTATTCAAAAGGGTGCCTCACCATTATAGAAAATTGAAATTTGTGACCATCACGCTCTGACTTACGGGATGATAAAATACAGCAAAACCTATCTGTCCACCATATTCGTCATCACACGCTCTTGCAGCATCTTCTGATTCGAATAGCATACCCTCATACGGTTCCTGGTTTCTGTCAGCTACACATAAAGTTGAGTTACCAAGTGCTGATTCTTTAATTCTTCCACAGCGGCCATGCACTGTGTTTTGCACATCCACTAAGAGAAATCATTAAATACATGACACTAATCTGGAGAGATTAACAAAAGAGATAACAGCTGACAGTAACGTACCTTTCACTAATGAAACATTACTCTACAAACAGAATTTCTACATCACTACTTTCAAATAGAAACCAAAGAAATAAAAACAAATAGTCAATAAGAAACTCCACAGCGTTTGCTGAAGAACTCCTGGTATNAGCAGCACGATATTCAACACAAAGAATGTCACTAAAAATCTATTCAAAAGGGTGCCTCACCATTATAGAAAATTGAAATTTGTGGAATAAATGTGCATACAAGAAATGAGTCCGATGAACAAAACAACCAAAGGAGAAGCAGCTCGCACAAATGTGGCAAAGTAATAGACGTGATTCACAAGAGGAAACTGAAGAACGAGTGCTTCAAGGCAAAAGAGTTCATTTCAAATTTTATTATTCCAATTTCTTGAGATCTCTAAAAACCACCAGAAAATGTTTGCACCAGCAGCATATAATGAGTTATTGTGCACATGCTATTTCTACAATGTGCATATCTATACAAAGAACTAAAACGACGAATTGAAAAGCTACACTGGACATTCAGCGCTAAATCCATATATGTCAAAACATGTATCTGAAGCAATGTTAACTTCACCAAACAGCTTCCGAAAAGCTATCTACTAACAATGTTCTGATCGTGAGATCCCAATTGTAAGTTAAAATTATCTCTGACTTCGTCGCTCTTCAGATTCCAAATCGCTAACATTTCTTACAGTGTGTTGGATTCTCTTTGACAGTGACTGATTGTGCTCCTCAATGTGCTGAAAAACCATATCCAGTTGCCTTTTATAGGTTGCAGCTTGCTTTTCAAAGGTTGCAGCTTGATTTTTTGCAATTGACAGCTGTAAGGATAGCTCCCGGATTTTATCACGTTCATTCTACACAAAAAAAGACAGAAAAATGAGGACTATCAGAAATAACAAAGATCTGTGTCTCAAAGATGTAACGCAGCTCAATAATTTCGTATTGCACATGCACAACTCTTACAAAAAGAAAAGCTAGATCTGAATGAAATTAATTGAACGTAATTACTAGGCCAATCATGCGAGTAAATACTATTTAAGCTTTAAAAAAGTTGCAGAAAAGGGTATTGGTTTATCATTTGACATCTTATTTCATCACCAAAGATTTACACAATTGTTCAATGATATAGAGAAATGACCTACACATATCAGATCCATTGTAAGATATAGATTCAAGCCTTAAATCATAAAATGCATGACACAGTGTGGTGAGAACTGGGATTATTTCAATGCACCCTCCCCCATTCATACCTCTTGGGACTAGCAAGATTTGCAACCACATCAAACTGAACTAGTTACTTGAATATATCATCGAAAACTAAAAAAAATTCACAGCAGTTAGAAATTATTTCATCAAAAAAATGAAAACAATAAGATCTACTACCCCATCCTCACCCCAGTGAAAAATATAGACGTGCTATGAATCGTATGACAAAGCATATGAAACAAAACAGATTTATTCACAGAAAAACGAGATCACTTTATACTCGAGTATTTGTATGAAACCCAAACATCTCCAGGTGCATTACTTTTTACAAACAAAATTAGCTGCTAAAGTCTCAAACTAAGACGTAACTTGGCGAGCATGCAAATAAGATAGCATGCTCGACAAACAAAAAGCACATGCAGGAAAAGTATCATTGAACAAAAACATAATCTAGACTGAAACCTTTTCTCAAAACTAATAATGATCTGAAGGGAAAATGGGGTCAGTTTCCAAGCCAAAAAAGAATATATTACTCTTTAATGAGATGCATAGATACAAATGATTTTGCTAATATCTTCAAAACTTTTAGGAAAATGTTGAAAGCACGATGCTGCTATTAGATGGGAGGAGCACAAGAAGAAGCTTGTGAACAGACTTTGTGATACCACGTCTTTTTGGTTCAAATTAAAGCAACAGTAAGAACCATGAAACCAATTCACTTTGAAATACAAGCAATAGAAGTATAGTACCTATGCAGTAAAGCAGGCAAGGAGATGGTCGGAGATGAGTAAAACACTTTAACTAGAGTAAGAAAACTGGCAACTTAGCATATATTATTAATATGATATGGATAACTATCCTACAAATTGGTAAGTTATGACGTAAGTGTTGCAACTGCAACTTCATATAAACTACAGTGGTCAAGACTTGCTGACATGATCTCACCAATTTGAATGTATTTGATCCAAAGAAGAGATGTTCCCAAAAAACTTTATGGATATAATGAACAGAAAAAAGTAATTGAATATCAATAAAAAGTAGAACAAATGCATGGTTTTCCAATTTTCTAGCTGCTTCTTACCAAGTCAAGAAGCGTCAATTGACACACAGGCATTAAATTCAACGAGGCCCTTTACGTACTTCTGGCATAAGCTTAACAAAATATGATACAACATGAAAAATTATAATTTATATTTCATATAATTTTGTTGGTACTTTTTCCCATATTTAATATAAAACCTTCCTAGAATGATGGAAGATATCACCACATATATTTGCGAGAGAAAACTATATACTACAAGTTAGTGTACAGCATTCACCATTGATGATTCTAACACTCCACCATTGCCATAAATGGTAGCAGTTAAGATTGCCTGTCCAGATCTTAACGAAGGCTTCGCATATGCCGGGGCCATTTCATGATTATGCTCCTTTACAAATCTTGTAACTTTCCATTGCCCATTGTCATCACATGCGAAACATATCATTGCTTTGCATCCTGTCCTTGATTCAGGCTTTTTATAAGTAAGGGCATCAACTTTGTCATCCTTGATGCCTTCCTTGGAGCAACAATAACATTTTGACCGAACCCTCTTTGTACCCATGAAATAATATTGCTTTCCCCTCCTGACGCTAAAACCCATTGCTTGACCATAATCACAGTACAACATATAGGCCTCCTCCTCACTGTAGACAACTTGCTCCAACAATTTCTTTTCTAGCCCCTCAACAAGAACTTCATTCGAGCCCTCATTCTCATCAACCACTTCCCCAACGGAACGTGGAATTACTGCTCCTTCTTCATCGCTGTCAGTACAGTTGGCTTCATGACTTTTGAGCTCCAGTTCAGAACTCTCCATTTCTATAAAGCACAAGTAATAGCTCCAACAAGTCAACCTTTAGAGACCTTGACAATGGGAAAACAACCACCCTTAGTGTTGGTAGAGGAGTACATAATTACTAGCAATCTGTACATACTAGGGAACATCACAATGCTAATACATAACATAATAGGATTTGTGAAAAATTGAATGAACCAATTTTTATCATAGTTGGTGTTTCAAAAGCACTTTTAGGTAAATCCAGAGTTAGGCGATTCAATAAATGTCTTGAGGCAAAACTTCTCATAAAAGTTGAATTCGTAAAAAAGTCAACTATTGTGTTAGACCTATTGGTTCAGTGACTCTTACAGGTGCATTATCAGAATTTAAATTTTTTTTGCAAATAATTAACTTGTTGAAAAGACCTTAAACAATATCATGAAGCTTATGCCTTATTCACGAGATCTCTTCCATAACAAATGAGATCCATCAAGCAATATGTATCAACATTATCTTATGAGTGTAACAAACCAAAATAGGGCAATCGACAGCAGAAACTTGTTTCCTCATAATACCTTGTACTGCTGTTGAAGAAGTGTGCCCTAAATTGAAATGACTAAAAAATTTCTTTATTATGATGTTAAACTACTACGATAATTGTCATTTATATTTCGCCAAAGGGGATGCACCTATTTAACATAATGAACCAATCAAAAGTATAACTCATTGGCTTCTTATCGATTAAAATCCAAAATATTTTTCAACAATAATTTAAATATAAGAAATTGGAGTTAGAAAGTGGGCCTATGGAGAATCGTGGCAAACATTGTCCTATATTCATGTTTGCCTCCATTTGTGTGAATTCGTGGCTCAAANTCCATCACTTACCGCCCAAAATCTGTTAATAGCTCATGCCTATGTGTCAAACGAAATACGCACATGGCTCGTTAAATGTTTCCAGCTAGAATTAAATTCCATGTCAGTAATTAATTAATTGTCATCTTTTTCCCAACATGCCACTTTAATGTGAAAGCATGAGAGATGAAAACCATACACAGCAAAACGAGATCTATAGCAAAAACCATTTTCATCTTTCAAATCTTGGATTCCCAAATCGCGTGAACCCTAACCCCAAATCAAAATTGTTTATTTTTCCAACTTTGAGCAAAATGAATTTTTTTTTCATCTTTCAGTAAAACAAATTTGTTTTTCCAAATTTTTTCTGCTATGAAATCGGTCAAAATATGGGGATGACTAAAATCGGTCTTGGCATTAGTTGGGCTTCAACAAGGGAGATGGTGTGGTGAATTTTGCATAGTTTAAGCAGATGAAAGAAGGGAGTGGATTTGCTACATTAATTAAATATGTGTGTGTGTTTTTTCTTCTCCAGAAACTTTTATAGGCTCTGTAAATATATTCACAGTGTTGTTCACCAAATTCAAGCACTTTTCACCACCATTTTAGGCTTGTTCAATATGATGATTTATGATTTTGGACTCGAGAGATTTATATCTCCAATTTTGTATTTTTCTATTTGATAGGAAATAACTGTTGGTAAATTTAATTGGTAGTGGAATCGGGTTCTCATATACCGTATTAGTGATTTAGACACCGGATTCACACTTACCGTATTTGACAGTTGCTTACCGTAGTTGGTAGCTGCTTATCGTATTTGGCAGTTCAACTCACCGTATATAGCAACTCACTGTATATGCTAGGCAGCTCACTGTATTTGTCAGCTTACCGTATATGCCAGTCCACTCACCGTATGTGGCAGTCCAACTCACCGTATTTGACACTTACCGTATTTAGCAGAGAATTAAACACAGAATTTCCACAAACTAGTTGTTTCATACAATCACTTTCAATAACATAGAGTTTGGTGTTTGTTTTCACATACTTTGCACAAACACAATTTCGTATACAAAATAAAAAAATTCAGATAAATTTTTTTTCTATTTTTATTTCTCACAAAGATATAGAATATTATCTAGATTGTAAGAATTAAAACAAATTACACCCGATTTCCACTTTGAGCTCCAATTTCTCATTCACCCGAGTTTCATTTTTGACAAATAAATACATGAATTCAATGTTTTCGTGGAGGAGAACACATATCAACTTTGATATTTCAAATTGGACCAACGGGTCCCACCGAAAATTGTGCCAAAAATGAGCCACTCACTCATTTTTTCTAACAATAACAAGGTTTCCCATTGGACCAGGTTTCTGGGTTTCTGTCAACCACAATATCAATTGTAAATTCAATAACAAAGTCATGCTATATGCCTATATCAATGACAAACACCAAAGACAGCCATCTTCAATTAATTGAGCATATATGCGAGTTAGTTAATATACAAAACAGGCTGCATATACAAAATAATTTGCATCAAAGTAATTCCCAAACCTATGCTCACAGTTAAGCTACATTATCAGTCAGTTTCAACATCAAAATTCAAAAATAGCCCAAAAATCAGTAACTTTCCTATACTTTAAGGTTTGGGCTGACTCACAAAAGTAGTTCTAAGAAATGTAGGCTTCAATGTGTTGCAGTCCTAGCAAGTCTCCTAGCGTTCGCTCTTGCTACTCTTGATCTAGAAGACACATTGTTTTGCTCATCCAGTTCTTCAAAATTCATTTGCTCAATAATCTCTTATGTGTGAGACGATGGTCCAATTTCACTAAATGGGATAGAAGCTGCTGGCACTTCATCCTGAAAAATTGTTTGATGTTGGTTCCCAATGCTAGGTGTGGGCATGAATTGAAAACTTTGAAACTCTTTATGTGGTTGGCTCAAACCAGCTCCATACCCTCGGTCTGGCACCAATTTTCCCTGATGACAGAATACCATCAAAACCAGTCAATAAACCATAGTTTGACATACAGAAGTAAACCATTACGTCCTCTAACGCGTGCCTTCTCGAATCAGCCGGCTCCAACTGTCCTTCATACCAGTCCTACAATTGGAAGTGATTTTCTTGAGTGTTTTTCGAATTGTAAACATCATTAAACATTTTAATTACTACTTACGTTGAAAGGTGCATCAAACCTTGAGTGATATCTTTTATTGTGGCCCTTTAATCCATAGATTGAGCATGTCATGGACACCATTCCTTTTTTCCTAACATGTGATCGTCCATGGGAGCATTCGATAACATCTTCCTCGGCTTGTTTCCTCCTTTTATTTTGCTTTCTTCCCCTTTGTGGGGTATTCCATAAAAGTGGAAAGATAGGAAGAGTGTCTAATCGAGGCCATAATCGTCTCCCATTAATTGGATTCATAATGTGATCATAGCATCTCAAATATGTATCAGCGGTGTAGTAGTTGTCCACGAAATCCTCAATTTCATTTCTAGTCTCCCGTATAACGGCAATAGCGTGACTACATGGAATTCCTGTCAACTCCCACCTTCTACAAGCACAACTCTGCTCTTCCAAGTCGATGACATATGTCCTATATTTGCAATCCACTTGCCACCTAGGCCTTCCTGAAAAATGTAATGTGCATTCATTGGCCATCTCAGTTATCTTGACCAATTTTTTTTTTATTCTCGAACACAATTGCCCTCCATATCTCATCATCTTTCTTTGGCGTTTCTCGATCCTTACCATGAACGCTAATTGTAAATCTGTCGACATCGTTATGATTAACTTCTTCCTATCATCAATCAACATCTTGTTGAAAACTTTGCACAAATTGTTCAACAAGATGTCACTTTTCAACTGTGTTTTGAAATGAGATTTACTCCATTTGGCCGCAGGCCTCTCTGTTAACCATTTATGGGCACCTTCACTGAGTTGGAGAATCTGTTGTATCCACTGTCTGTGGTCAACCAATGCAGTTGACTTAGCAGCTCGCCAAAGTAAATCCTTCAAAGTCTTTCCCTTGAATCCCAAATTGAAAAAGTTCGTGTACATGTGTCAGACATAAAACCTATGCTCAGCCTCGGGAAATAACTTGTCAATTACCTTACTTAAGCCCTTTTGTCTATCTTTCATCATAGTCCAATCAGTCCCATTTTCCATTTGAATATGCTCAGCCAGATATTTCAAAAACTATCTCCATGCAACTGTGTTCTCTTTCTGTACAACCGCATAAGCAACTGGATAGATACAATCATTTGCATCTAAGCTGACTGCAGTGAGCATTATACCTCTCCAAACACCCCGAAGGTGGCACCCATCTACTCCAATTATCTTCCTACACCCTTGTTGAAACCTCGATTTGCAAGCACTAAAACAGACATATATACGTTGAAACACTTGTCCTGTTAGTGCTATCATCACTGTGGATCCTGGATTGGTCCTCAAGACCTCTGCTGCATACGACCTCAATCCTGTAAATTGTTCTTCAATAGTCCCATTTATCAATTGCTTTGCATATCTTCTAGCCTTCCAAGCGACATTCCGCGTAATATTTACCTTCAAATCTTCCTTCACGGTTGCTTGCATACTTTTTGTTTTCAACTCCGAATCCACCTTAAATTGCTCAATATACCGATGGACTATGAATATATAGTTGCAATGACGATTGTACTGATCTTGACTACATGTGTGTGAAGGCGTATATGACTTCACTTGCACCGTATCTGAATTATTCATCTTAGAAGCCCATATTCTCCATTCGCAACCTAGTTTACAGATGCCTTGAACTCTTTTTTCATCGTTCGCCTTACACTTCACATTATATCCATTTATTGCACCATACGTTCGAAGCACCTTCCTGAAATCTTGAATAGAATTGAATAATTGTCCCACCTCAAACCGTGGATCCCGTATATCCATATCAGCTGTAAATTCTGAAAATCGATAGTCGACCTCATCGTCAGATGACACACCAGACAACAATTCTTCAGAGGAGGGACATTCTAAATCATCAAACTCATGGTCTTCGTCATGCATGGTTACTGCATGGCCATCTTCATTGCATTCCGTGGCCCCCACATCATAGCCTAATTCAACTCCCTCTGTCACATTTTTTTCAAATAGCAAATCATCTTCACCAGACGATATATTATTGTTGGAATCACTGAAGTCCGAGTCATCCTCCATATCAATAAAAAAGGAAAAAAAAAGAAAAAATGGGGAGTTAAAGACTCGTAAAAATTGCAGAATAACAGAACCTTCATTATATTCCAAAGTGCCCAACTTTAGCAGATTAACATAGGCAAGCAAAGCTATATCTAACTTCCATTCTTTAAAACCCACCCTTGCTCTATCATGAAACCTATACTATATTAAAGAAAAAGGTTTGGAATTTACCTGGATTCAGTCCTTCCATGTGGATTTTTCACAAATCCAACCTTTTGCGGTCAAGGTAAGACCTTCAGTTGTTATATATTGTTTGATTTTGGGGGTAAGGGTTCACAACAATCTCTGTTATTGGAGTGGAATTTCGTTTGGATTTTGTGGGGTTACATTTCTTTCTTTTGGATATAGATTCATGATTTCAAAAGGAATTAGGTCTCATGCTTTCAATTTCTTTTGGCTAAGGTGTGTTTGGTAGTTTCAAATTACTGATTGGAATTTAATTCTGAGCTGGAAACATTTAACGAGCCATGTGTGTATTCCGTTTGACACGTAGGCAAGAGCTATTAACGAATTTTGGGCGGTGAGTGATGGAGTGCAACTATACAAAGTTTAGTGAGTAATGGGGGTGCAAATGTAAGTTCAATGAGTGAAACGTAACATTGTGTAAAGTTCAATGAGTGTTCAAACATTTAACTTGAATGTCTAACTATCAAGCCAACTATGGAATATTGCAGATACATGATTGAATTGATTGGGCATGCTAGGAAGATTGAAGAAGCTTATCCGATTATTATTATGTTTCCAATTGAAGAAGCCTTTTCTGGTGGAGGGTGGAGACGGCAAAACCAGGCGGCAACAATTTGCTATTGGAGGTTCCACAACTTAGGAAAGAAAGTGACTGCGATTTCTGTGTTTGGGAAATGAAAGGTGGGTATGCATATCAAAGGCCGATTTGACTTTTCATTGTTTCTTTTAAGTCAATAAAATTGAGTAATTAATGGATGCTATGTGTGATGCCACATAGGGCGATTATGATAGTCGATAACTAGGAATAACATTACTCATTCGTTCAATAGAAACTAGTCTTCCCCAAATTGACAATTGAAAAAAGTCTCCTCCTTCAAATCCCAAACTCTTCTCCTTCAAGTCAAAAACTTCTCATCTCCTTCTTCTTTTGAGGTTGGCGACTATGGAAAGTTTTAAGGGAACGGCGATGTGCGTGGAGGGTTGAGGTTTGAAATCCATCTTCTTCATTTCCAAACCAGCGACGAGCTTCTATTTAGGAAAATCAACATAACTTTTCCATATTTTGAAATATGAAGTACCTAAAGAATGGATTTGATTTTCAATTGATTTTCTTTTATTTGAATTACTTGCCATGTTTTTATTTATTTATTTTGG